CGTATCAGACTCACTTATGTGACATTTTTCTAGTATTTTCTTGTGTGATTGGGTTTGGTCAGTTCCATTATACTCTTCTTCACCTTTGAATCTTCTATCCTTCTTCCATAAATTTTCTCTATGCTCACTCCATTATCACCCATCTTTCTTTACTTTATATTATTCTCTAGCCTTCTCAGATGCTTCTGCAAGTGTTTTTTGCCTTTTCCTCTATAAGTTTACCTTCCCTATTTCTCTAGCTTCCTCAATCTCAGAACAATTGTTGCAACCCTTGTATTGGCTTCTTCTTTAACATCATAAGCACACTGGCTAAGCAGATGGCGGCTAATGCCAACCTCTCCAAACCTTTAGCAGCCTTAGTCTATTTCTGAGCTGCAAATAAGATGGTCTCCATTGTACTTGCCCCAACCTTTGCTTGCTATGCTTCTTCTTGAGACTTACGTAGCTATTCAGTGATTGATTTTGCTTCACTGTGACAGTGAATGATTTTGCTTCATCAGCCTTTGAGTTCCTTACTGCAGCTGCCTTGGTAACTCCACTATTTCCCACCTGGATTCTTTTTCCTTGGAATCAGAAATAGCTACTTTCATGTCGATCTCAGCTTCTAGAAAACAGAAGCTAAAGATGGCATTTTTTTTCTTTGTTATACAACCATCACTCGCCAGCAAAACAAACCTAGATAAACAGAAGGAAATCTTTACTAGAAGCATGAGAAATAAAACTAAAAAATCATCTTTCTTGGGTATTCATTTTTTTTAAAAAAAATAGATGTTGACATAAATTTCGAATTATCACAAAATATGCTTGATCTATGGAGGGACATAAAAAGTCTAGGAATGATATCTTCTCTGAATTCTTTGCAATCGGCAGTCATAAGCTATCAGTATCGTGAACACACTAACATCTAATAACCGAATATCAGACAACAACCCCACTAAGTTGTAGTTAAAATAATGAAGCAACTATAGGAAATCAAGAAGAGTTATAAAAAATAAAAATAAAAATTACTTTTCCAGTTTGACGGTCATCGTGACAGATTTTTATCTTCTGGAGGTTCACTCATGGCGCTCTTTACGGCAGTGATCTCACATATAGTATATATGAAATTTGATATCGATATCGATATTAGTATGTTACATGGATAAACCAACACCAATCTATAGAACACAAGCCAATATACATAAAAAGACCATCTATATTTATATATATATATATATATAAATCACGTCCGTAGGTGGAAGCTAAGTGTTTGTGTTAGCTAATCCAACCAGCTCGGTTTGGTTACGGAACCAGAATCCTTACGATCCCCCATATAATCATCGATATTGGTTCTACTCATATGGAAAAACATATTGTATTTGATTAAAATACCTAAATCGCTAATGACCACAAAAATGAAAATGACGTGTTATTTAAGTTTCTAAATCTCTAATGAAAAATATACATATTGATCATAATATTTAGATATTATATATACTAGATTCTTTTTCCGCCTTACGCGTGGATTGTGTGTTTTACATTTATCAAAATTGCATCTTTAATTATTTTATTAATGATTTCGTCACTTTTTCATTTAGTTTCATTTTGAAAATTGTTAGTTATATTTTACCAATTTTAATTTAATATATTATAAATTTTGAGCATTGTTTTTTCTATATATTAGTAATATTAGGTAAAATCGCAAAGAGGCGTTTGCCAAACTACGCCCGGATTTATTTACATAATGTTTTCATTTATTTAAAATATTATGTAATTATGTTAAATATGTAGTATATACTGGTAACTTTTGACAAATAAAAATTATTAAAATCAAGTTTAACTTATCAAATTGAAAAATGTTAATAAGGATGAAAGACACATAATATATTATTTAAAATACTATTACAGTAAAAATAGGCTAAATTCCTATCATTTTAAATTTTTATTTCCTAACTCCTCAGTTCATTCTTTTGACAAAAAAGTTTATTTTATTCATTTGAACAACTTTGAATAAAAATGTAAAGTAGCACTTTTTAAAAAATGAAGTCTATCTTAAAATTTTAATATTTAAATTTTATTTACCTTTTAATAGTTTAATATCACATATAAACATATCCAACTTCTAAAACATATATCACATACCCCAAATAAAAATAAATTAATACCTGAATCTTTATGATTTGCTTAAAATATAAAATAAACTATAGTTCTTAGTTTTCATTAATATATTTAAAGTAAACAAGTGTTAAAATATTTTTATCAAATTAGTAACTATATAATCTAATCATATATCATGATTTAAATTATTGATATAGTGTTTCAAAAAAAAGATTATTGATATAAAGAGTGGGCTATTTGTTTCGGGGAACATGAACCAAGTGTTATGGGTTAACATATTTTCCATTTTTTCATATTAACATAACCAAGTGTTATGGTTGATAAAATGTTAATCATGATGAAAGATACATATTATATTATTTAAAAATATTATTACATTAAAAATAGGTTAAATTTTTATCATTTAAAATTTTGATTTCCTAACTCCTCAGTTCATTCTATCCATTTGAATACAGTTGAATAAGATTGTAAAGTAGCAATTTTTAAACATTTTTATACAAATATATCATTTATTAAAATAACAAATAAATAGTTGTAAATATGAAACTCATATATAACAAATTTTATTGTTTGTTTTCCTCTAAATGAAGTCTATCTTAAAACTTAAATACTTAAGCTTTTTTTTAACTTTTAATAGTTTGATATTACATCTAAACATATATACCTTCTAAAACATGTATCCCATTACCCCCAAATAAAAATAAACTAACACCTGAACCTTTATAATTTGATTAAGATATAAAATAAACTATTATTCTTAGTTTTCATAAAAAATATTTAAAGTAAACAAATCATAAAGTTTATCAAATTAATAACATACAATCTAATAAAATATTATGATTTAAAAATTATTAATATAGTGTTTGAAAAAAAAATATTGATATCAAGAGTGTAGGCTATTTTTCGGGGAACTTTATAATGTAAATTAACCAAGTGTTATAGGTTAACATATTTCATATTTATTCAACAATAAAGCTTTATTTGCGAGACTTTTTAAAGAGCTGACTAAAAATGCTTCATGGAAGATTTATAGAATATTAACCATAAAAATTTTGAAATAGAAAGGGAGATAAATCTATAAAAATTATTAAAGATATGATGTTAAAGATAAGAGGTAATTAAGAGGACAGCTATAATTTATACGCTAAGAACCATGGATAAACAAAAGAAAAATATTCTTACAGGAGAATCTTCATACACACGATCATTTAGAGTGACATAAAAAACGAAAGTGAAGCAGCAAGCTGTATAATAGATTTCTCTGGTAAAAAAGTACAACGAAGAAAACCACATCAAATTTATCTTCTCCTGCTCCCTCAAACTCATATAGACAAAGAACACCTCATATTTAAACAGTAAAACTCAGCCACATCAAGTTTAGGTCATGAGTTCGAGTCTCGGGCGGGGTGGAGTGTCCAGGGCCATAACAAGTACAGACAAAGGCTGGTTCTAGGTCTAGGGGGATTAAGGCCAAAGGTCCAAACCCATCCTGAATAAAAAAAAAAAAAAAAAAAACTCAGCCACAGCTGGTATTAGACATGAGTTAAGAAAAAACTATAACAACATATATTGATGGTCTACAATTTTGTTTTTACAGATCATAGCCAAAACACGTGGCTGCATGCATCTGCAACAACTTCCGCAAATATGAAGATACATAAAGAGTTAACATAGAACTTACCTTTAGCCAAGAAAAACAAACATAGAACTTACCATCCAACCTTCAAATTTATATGATTTCTAGATCTACAAATGCCTCTTCGCCGATTTGAGCCTATCCCGAACTTGATTTTTAGAAACAAAAAAAAAACAAAAGCAACGTTAGCTCATTATCTCTCAGTCAAGTACCAATTAAAGCCTAATCTAGCAAATAAAGTCGATATATAACTAATACAAGTTTACTTATCAAAAGATTACTTCAATGACAATGAGTATGTAGGAGTGACATTTACCATAATACAGCTCATACTGTAATTTGACGTAGGATAGAATATCAATAAACTTAGCTGGATTAGGTATATTTATTAATACATAATTAACTTTGCAGAAATATAAATCAAAATCAAAATTAACATTTATTTAAATGTAGTTATTTCTACTTGGTTTATTTCAGAATAACTCAGACTAACTAAAATATATAATAGACAATCTTGGTTTGATATAAATATTAATTTTTTATTTGTCTAGCCAAAAGAACTTTAATAATTTTAATTAGTTTGGCCAAAAAAACAAAATTTTCTAGATAAATTGTTATAGGGGTGGGCATTCAGATACCCATTTGGGTTCGGTTCGGATCTATTCGGGTTTCCGGTTTTCAGATTCAAAGATTTCAGCCCCATTCAGTTATTTCTAAATTTTGGTTCGAGTTCGGTTCGGATCTTTGCGGGTTCAGTTTGAGTTTGGATAACCCATTTAAATTATTTTAAAATTTATTATATCCTTTAAATTTCTCAAAATCTATAAATAAAATAAAATATTACATATAAATTTGAATAACATATGTCAAAATACTTAAAATTAACATATAAATTGGTTTAGTTTGAATATTTGGATAGAAAATCAATAGATTTCAAGTATTTTTTATGCGTTTGAGTATATTTTAGCTATTTCAGACATTTATTTTTGACTATTTGTATATACTTTCAAGTATTTTATATATTTTAGATATTTCTAATATACATTAAATATAAAAATAAGTAATATACTTAGGTATATAAATCTATTTTGGATATATTCGGATACCCGCACTACTTCGGTTTGGGTTCTCAAACAATCAAAAATCATGTTCTACTAATCTATTTTGGATATCTTTTTTCATGCCCTTATTTATCAAAAATCATGTTCTACTAATCTTCATTAGGGTTCTCTCTTTATTATATAGGCTCTCAAAATACTAACTTTTACTAATACAAAATAGTCTAAGAAACCTTGATAAAAAAAAAAAGCTTTGACACAATGGAGACCAAAGCCCTAGTCTTGAACAAGTTTTGTATCCAAAATCTTATTCTGTTGATTATAAGGCAGCACTTTAAGCTCCTCTCCTCCATCTGCTTGCATCCAAGAAAATTATGATCAAAGAAAGAGAAGAAAAGAAACATGTAATATATCAGTTCTGAGAGATTTTCAGGCACAAATAAAATTTTGTACCTCTAACTCAGATATCATTCTCATAAGAACATGGCACTCCTCCAGCATTAACTTCTCTTGTGCCACCACTTCAGCAAGTTGAGAGGCAAGTGCAACGATATCCTCTATCTGCTAATGGAAATATTCTTTAAAGTTACTAAACCACCTACTTAGATGTCACTATTTTACCCCTCGGCATGGAAATATATAACATACCGTAGGAGAAAAACTATTCACAGTTGAAATGATAGCATCAGAGACTGCTTCTTCCTTCTGAAATATAGTGATAGCAGATTCACTATATTTGTTATTGCCAAAACAAAAACAAAAACAAAAAAAAGGTGAGAGCATGTTCTAAACTACCTTTGCACCTTCCCTTAGGGGAAGCAGGAACCCTGGAAAGAAGAGAATGCATGGCTTATATGGACATGGAAATAGATGAGAAGTGTTGTCTTTCCATGTCCTCCCATGCCTCAAGATGCTTAACCTATTTCATATTTATTTCTTATCAATCCGATTTAGACTTGCTTCAAAAAGACCAGCAAATGGTTTTTTTTTGGGAGCAGAGACGTACCTGAGAAAGAAAAACATGAGCCAGCTTCATTTCCAAGTTTTTCTTTTGCAGATTATCTCTCTCTTGTATAACCAAATTTTGTAGTTTGGTAAGAGCAACCCATGCACAGAGTAATTGTTTCTGGAAAAAGGTTTGATGAGTAGAAGTGATGATGATGACATTATTACCTTTGCTTGGAGTATTGTTTTCAGCCGACGCTCTAGCATTGACAAACCTCCACTGAACCAACCGATTGTTCATAAGTTTCAGCTGATGATCAGATTCTGTTGTCTTTGGTTTTAATGGTGAAGAAGGCTTCTTCTTGCTCCTGAAGAAATCAAAACGAAGGTTGAGTAGTTTACCAAGGCCTTTGTCTCTTGGAGGCTTGAGGCTCGAGGAGTTCTGAGGAGCTGCTTCCAATGATTTTCCTGGTGACATCGCCCACTGAGACATCGAACTGCCACCATACCTAGCCACTGATTGTTTCAAAACACGTAACTAATGTAAAGGCAAATACTTTCAAAATCAACAGACCCAATGTCTGACCCAAGTGAAATGATTATGTTAGAACCTGTCAAAAAAGCAATCCAGGATGTGGTACTGAGAATCCTTGCTATGATTCCCAAAGCGCAGCATCTGTTCGTTAAGGACTTCAACTCTTATTTGTTCATGATTCATAGCTTTTTTTATCTCCAAGCTACAAGCAAATTACAGTGTATCATAAACATCATAGAATACTATTAAAATAATTCTTTTTTGAGCAGACTATTAAAATAAATCACCTTTTGTACGTATAGATTTTTTTTCTGAAAAACAGTTGATTTTGCCTTTTTGTTAGCCATGGATGCGGTGGGTTTTGATCCAAAGTTCAAAGAATCTATATTTCAAAGAAACCAAAAGACATTAACTCCCATAAGACAGTAGAAGTATCAAAAAAGACAGAGAGAGTTTAATTACCAGCTATTTCCTTGGTGGTGTTCACCCATTGATCAACGATCTCCTTCCACTCTCTGCATAAACCCATCAAAGAAACTCAATGCCATGATCAAATAGTGGAAGAAAGTATCAATCTTAATGAATGATCAAAGTGACATATGCGATGAGAGTCTTAGCAAGTTGGTGAATCTTACCAGAAGCATGTTTCCTCAATCCATTAACAGCCTTTCCAATCTCAGTACTCTGTGAGAAAACACTTAGATCAATTACTTTACTCCATACAAACCTCAAGAACAGCCAGAAACCAACCTTGAGGATATCAACATTCAAAGACATCAACTTTGGCCGCTTCCTCAAAGATGTTAAATGACCGAGTGTGGCAAACAACAAAACCATCAAGCTTTACATAAACAGAGATTCAAAAGTGAATTTTAGATCAAAAACCTCGTCGTCTTTGTTGACCAAGATCTCTTTAATCCTATAAAATTCCTTAGACATCATAGAAAACTCTTCAATCGCATTACTCAAGGCCTCAGCTTCATCATTATAAGTATAATTGCTACCATTCACCAGTTTCGTCTCGTTTATAATATGATTGTTATCTCCTCTACTACTATTAGCTTTTCTCTCTTAACTCCCAACAGCTTCACGTCCATCAAACCCCGTATCTCCGATATCATTAGCCTCCTTGTCGCCTCCGGGAACCGATAGCTCGAGGTGGTCACAACTCGTGCAGCGATTCACCTTGCAGGAGAATAAAAGCTCGGCGATTTTGTCTCTTCTCGATTTGAATTTGTTGGGGCAATCAGCAGCGGCTACCATGATGGTGTGATCGATGATCCCGAAGATTTCTGAATCTCCTCACCGGAAATATTCACTCCAGCTATCTAACGAAGCTGATGGCTTCATCGTCTAATTTCGAATCCGATCTTCGTCGATCGAGAGGAATCGGATTCTCTCTTTTTTTCAGGTGAATCGGATTTTATTTATATATAGGGTGATGCTTGAGGATTTAGGGATTTGAAGTGGAGAGGGAGAGAAACAGACTATAATTAAAGGATGCAGTAAGACAAAAAGAAAAGTGAAGAAACGATTCATTCGTTTCAACTGAGTTAAATCTTCATCGGCTTGTCAATAAAGAAGAAATAGCACATATGGAGCTGATGTGGGAATTTAAAGCTTTGTGACAGGTTGATTATTTTCGCATATATGGTATAGTTCAGAGCGTTTGATATTGCCATTTTAATATTGTTAGATGAAAACTACATTTAATTTGTCTACTTCAAAATTTATGAGTTTTTAACATATTTATTGTATATCAAACGAACAGATTCTTCGAGGTGCACCTCTGTCTGACCGGGTCTGATCTATATGGGATAAGATATAGCGGATGATCCTTGCTTCTTTTGTTAGTGTGTCTGTTTGACCATTCATATTCCGAGAAATATAAGATACACCCACATCCTCAAAATCTTCTTGTAATCTCTAGAACACTTCGACCTCTGTCGTGAAAGTCGGCCAATCCTCCAGATTTGTAGTCATGTCCACTAAGTTCAAGCAGTTCGTCTCAAACCGTATCAAAGTTACCCTCCTATTTCTCATATATGAGGCTGCCCAAAGTAAACATTCTATCTCAGCATGTAAAGCCGAGAGGCTCTTTCTGCACGCATGTAATCTGGAGATCTCAGAACCCATTTGATCGGTAAAGATTCCATTCTAAGTCACTGACGCTGCCATTATCGTCCATGATGCATCAATTTGACAGGTAGGGATTTAGGGTATCCAAGGGGGCACTGTCTCAACCTGTGTAGGGTTTTCATGATCCTCGTTTGTTTCCTCCTTTTCATTAGCCTTGCTCCAACATTCTGGCTCAAGAGACGCGTGTTAGAGAGTGTCAATCGGAGAAACAACTTTCTCATTAAAGAGTTTGTCGTTCCTCTCCTTCCAAATGTACCAAAAGATCAATGAAAAAATATCAAATTATGGTCTCAGTGGAGCCACATCTTTTCTCTTCCAAAACAGAAAGTTCATAAATAACCATTTAATGATCCGATACTGTACATTCAAATTTTATGGTATAATAAATATATTCTCGAGTGTAATATTTTCTAGAGGACTTGCTAAACCTAAATTTACGATATAACTCTAAATACATAGACCAACTAACGGCATGACTCACACTTTGCAGCCTATCTTTTTTATAGATTTCTAGAGTATAAGAACCTTTGAAATAGCAACATTCAACTCAATTACTGAACTAAAATCATATTAGAGGAAGAAGCAAAAGACAATGTTACCAATATCGTGCTTTGGTATTAATTGGTTATTTCCAAAAGTGAAGGAAATTATAGTTATCTATATAAAACCTTTGTCAACTTCCATATATAAGTTTTCACTATATATATGATATACTAGGTGATTTTCCCGTGCTCATGCACGGATATAAATATTTATAAAAAAATATACTATAAAAATTGCTTGCTATTTACTTTAATTTAAATTAATTTATAATTTATATGCATAATTTATATTAATAATACTATAGTACTTTAGCAGATGAATGTAGATATGTTATATCTAATTAGTTTTGTTATTTTTACAGTCGATTTAGTTATCATATGAATTTATTGGACTGTATCTATTTTTCTAAATTCAAATACAATGTTTTTTATTCTAAATATATTAAATTTTGATTAATTTTCTTCTTTGTATTTAGGTTAGTTGTTGTGTTAGATACTAAATATATTTTAGGAAGATTATGTATAACTTAGTATATATTGTTTTTAGAATGAAATAAAAATAAACTAAAGTGTCTGATTCTAAATTACATAAATTAATTTAACAAAAATATTCTGAAGTCTCATGCATGTATATAAATTTTACAAAATAACTAATTGCAACAGTTGGTTAATATTTTATTTTCATTTGTTAATATGTTTTGAGTCATCCTATAATTTATATTTATAAAATAAATTATTATTATTATAAAACTATATATTCTTATTGTAGTTAAATCTATGATTTTAGATATAAGTTGGATTAGGTGATTTTCCCGTGTTCATGCACAAATATAAAATCGACAACATAAATAAATCATACTAATTGATTACAATTTTTTTTTATAATTTATATGTAGATCTTGGGTATATAATTACATGTTGTTTTAATCTGACATGTGATTTAAGATATATAGTATCTAATCGATTTAATTATTATTTGGATATAATATATTGCATTTTTTTTGTTGATATTACTATAATTATTCTTATATATAAAAAATATAATTATAAATACATCTATTTTTATTCCAGCTAAACCAAATAAGATCAGTTTTATTTAATGTGGGAGTTATGTTTTTTATCTAGGATGTGTAGATATAGTTTCATTTTTGTATATTTGATGTTTATTTTAAAAAACCAATAAAAATTAAATTGATGATTAATATGACAACATAAAAAAACATGACCGATATAATTTTAAAAATAATTTATATTTTGATGTATAAACGATAAATTAAAAACTATATTAATAATTTTAAACATAAGAATTCAGATTAGTTTGGGAGTTCAGATTATAAAGGAGACAGTGGTTGTTAAAAATATAAATTAAAACTTAAAATCAACTAAAGATTAAAAAAAAGAAGTAAAGTAAATATCTATAGTTCACTAAAAATATTTTGTCTTATAATATTTAAATATTTCTGTAATTATTTTATTAAATTATTTTATTAAGATAGAATTATAAAAAAATAGTTACATTTTCTAATAATGTCATCTTGCTTAAGATTATTTTTAAAGTATGTTGTTTAGTATTTTAAGTAAATAACAAAATTTTGTAGAGATTATTTTATATAAGAAAAATATTAATTTACTTTTACTTTTTAAAAATAAATACTCAAACATTTGGTTTATATTTAATATTTTGAAATCATCTTATATACGAAAAATATAAATGTACTTTAGATAATTCGAGATATTTTTAATTTATGTAGTCTAATAAAAAATACAAAGAAATTTTCAATTAAATTTATGTTAACAAATTATTATGAAAAACATATGTAAAACCCTTAGTAATATTAGTTTTAAAATACTTTTAGTTCATAAAGAAACTTCAATTTATGTTATGTTATTTAAGTTAGTTTTGATCATCTGAAAATATAGCTTGATGTAAAGAAAATATTATTATTACTTTAAAAATATATATATTATGTTATTTAAGATTATGTATTAAAAGGAATATATTTCTAATATTAAGATGCTTATTGTGAACTTTCCTTTTTTATGAACTCAAATTATATACGTGATATATTTTCGTTTTAAAAATTTAATTTTTTTCCTTTAATAAAACTTTTATTGTTAAGTTTCCTTTTTTTTTATGAAATCAACTTATTTATTATACATATTTAGTTTTTAAAATTTATAGTTCATTAATTAATGTTTACTTTTATTATAAATATTATTTGGAAAGAAAATAAAGAAAAGAAAAGTTAAATTAAAAATAAATAAAATTTTAATAGTAGTGGAAATTAGATATAAAATTTTTAGTTCATTAAGGGTATATATGTAATCAACCATTGTGAAAGTTAACGTGAGCGCGACACATAGGAAACTGACTTCTCAAATAATATTATAGAGATAGGCATGTGTTCTCAAGAACTTTTTAAACGTTTAATCTATACTATTAAAAGTGAAGGCACCCTTGAAAAATCGACAGATAGAAATTGTCTGCACCCTCATTAATGGCATTTTGATAATTTATATTTTTGGGCTTACAACGATATATATATATATATATATATATATATATCAATTTGTTGCAAATCATATCACATATTACATATACCCGAATTATTCTCTCTCTTCTCATTAATTAATCTAACCATATTTCATTCCATATTTCATACATTTATATTGTGTTATACACCTTATATTTCATCTTTTATTACTTTTTAGTGAAAAAAAAAATTCACCAGGAGAGAGAGCTAGATGATAAACCGCGCCATGCGCGGAGTGAGATTTTTAAAAATATGTTATATTTAAATACATATTTTGCTATTATTAACATTTATTACATTTGATTAGGGCTTTGCGGTTTGGTTCGAATCTTTGTAGGTTCGGATTTGGTTTAGGTTCGGATAACCCATTTGATTTTTTTTTTATGATTAAAATTAATATATACTTTAAATTTTTCAAAATTTAAAAGCAAAAATAATATATAACATATAACATATAAATTTGAAAAATGAATGCCAAAATAATTAAACTTAACATAAAATTGGTTTATCTTAACTATTTGGACAAAAATCAATAAATATTTCATATATTTTTGGTATTTGGAGTATCATTTAGCTATTTTTAAAATGTACATTTAACTATTTTATATATTTCAAAGTGTTTTGGAAATTTTTTTAAAAATCTCATGTATTTTCTATATTCTTAGATGTTAAATTTAAAAATAATTAATATATTTAAGTATATAAGTCTGGCTCGAGTACACTCGGATACCCGATATATTTCGATTCAGTTTTTGTTCTCTAGATACCAAAATTTTGAATCCGTTTGGATATTTAAACAATTTTGGTTAAAATTTTGTACTACTTTTTGGATTAGATTTGTTGCGGTTATTTGGATTCATTTTTTTTTCCCAACCATATATTTTTTATTATAACAAAATTTAAACGAAAGGAATGATGGTTCATATTCATTTCGGGTATGCAATAATTTTTAAAGAAAACACATTCTATTATGAGTGATCCATTTAGTTAATCATTATAAACTGTTTAAGACACATTAGAAAAACTATTGGCTGAACTAAACAACGTT